GGCAAGCTCTTATTAGATTGCAGAGTTGCCCAGGCTGGGCTCAAACTTGCAGTCCTTCTGCTTTAACCTCCCAGGGTGCGATTAGAGGCACGAGCCACGAAGTCCTGCTCCAGCCCTATAGCTTGAACATATTCCATAAATGAGAATTTTCCATCAGTAGATTTAACTTTTTCTGAATTTTGCCACATTAGTGAATATTCTGTTACATTTGCCCACTTACATCTCCAGGGGTTTTATTTTTAGATCATTTCCAGTTAAATTTTATGTTTTATAACTCCAGGGAAATAAAAAAGTTATCAGAGACCAAAGTTACTTGAAAAAGAAAATAGAACTTCCTGAGACTGTTGGCTTTGCCTAGTTGGCAGAATATTTCATGTAGTCTTTTGACAGATACCATGGCCAGAGAGCAGCAGCAGCGCCAGTGGAGGTGTGCTCTGTTCCAGGTGCCAGTTAAATCCTGAGCTGACCTCTTAGCCAGACTCCAGTGCTAGGCTCAGCCCTTGGCCACTTCTGAGGGCAGCATTCACGAGTGTGGATGGGCCTGAAAAACAATGCACCAAAAGAACCTGGGAGGATTACACCCCTCTACAGACCTTGTTTTTCCTTATCTCTTAGCCTGGGGAGTAGACTACGTGTTTGTCTGTATCTCATCCAGAAACAAGATATAGAAGCTGCTATAGAGTCACAAACCTAAATCTTCATCAGTTCTAAATCAGTTTTTTTCCATGGGCTAAGCCCTGGGATTTGGTCAGAAGCTCCATTTCCTTTGGAAGTGCTTGCTTTTTATTAAGTGGGCAAAACCAGAAACCTAGATAGCTTCATTGAGTTGTTGCAAGTGTGACACTGGTCAGTGCTTTGTCACTGAAACAGGGCAGGAGCTAATGGTGTGTCACCTGGGGCACTGCAACACCATCGGTGTGTGGCTCAGAGCAAGGCTCCAGAGGTCTGGAGTGCACTCGAATAGCAGGAAAGAGTGCCCAAGGGAAAACAGGACCTGAAATGTGAGAGGAGGAGAGAACAGACGTATTCTTCTGTATCTCCAGCCATTTCCAGAAGATGGCACCAACCTTTTTCTTAGCTTCCTGATGGTCCAGAAGCTCAACTCCAAATACCCTTCTGCGAAGGGTTCTTTTGATTCTACCATTGTTGTTTTTGGATGTTTGCTCTTTTGTTTTGTTTTGTTTTTAACTCAGCCAGTTGTTCTGATGTATCTGAGAGAGAGCCAAATCAAACTTTGTGAACCTAAAACATGCAAGCCAAATGTTGAGAACTTCTGTGCTCTTAAAGAAACCTTATCTTTAAGCAAATACTCACTAGTATTCCAAGGAGCAATCCCGTTTTCTTAAAAAGCTACCTGTGAAAATTAGGTTTTTCTTAGCTAGACATTGTTATCTCACTAACTTTGAAAAGAAACAATTCCTATTTCTAACCAGATGATAGCAAAATGAAAATTGGAACAGAATTTGCTGACTTCAGAGCAGCTTATAATACAAAAGTCTACTTGGTCCTGTTGTCTTTGAATATGGTCCCCTCACTCCTCCCCCGCAAAATTCTTCCCCCCTCTGGCCACCTCTCCTACTACTAAATAATATTTTCCTCCTTTTCCCATGTTTACTTTTGCTCCCTCTTTGCTTACATTTATAATCTTTGCCTCTTATGTTACACAGAGCACAGGGCAGAACCTAAAGTTCAACCTGATGCAGGCAGCTGGCCAAACCAGGGGTTTGGCATATGGAGGGAAGTTGAGAACACTTACCAGCCTTGCCAAAACCAGAGTCTGTCTTGGGAAACTTGCTTTCACCCCAATAAAAGAGAGGTGCACGCATCCTGACATGCAGGCCCTGACATCTTACTTTCAGACACACATACCCGTCTTAGAAATATTTGATAAAATGCCTCGTTTCCTAAGAAGTTCTCTGGGTTTGGAGTTCAGCTCAGCAGATCTGAGTGTCTTGTCCCACTCCCTCATTGTAGGTAATTCACCGGAACCTGGATGGCAAGAGAGCATTGGCGATGGGAAGGAGAAGAGGGAAGCAGGGGCCTTCAGTGCTTTGCCACATCTCATAAGTCCCACTGCACCCTGAGGGTACCAGGGGCTGTTAGCTTGCTTCCTTTGCAGTGAAAGTGGCACTGCCGGGGCTCACCTACCCTTTCTCTAAATTCCATGTTCTTTTCACCTTAGTTGGATGTTAAACATCAATTCCTACTTATCAGTGTGCTCACACTTAAGCATACCAAACGAATCAGCCAGTGTTCTTTGACCATTTCATTTCTTCCTCCAAGTTTAAAAACTAAGGTTCAAAAATCTTCAGCTTTCTGGCCAATAGGATATAATGCTTGCACATACTGATTTCTTACTGCAAAAAGCCAATGTCTTCACAGCACTGTCTCATGGCTGGATGGCCACAGAAAAGGGACTTTCTCCCCTTGCGCTTGCCACTGTGCCCTTAGCTGTATGTAGCTCAGCCTCATTCGGACTCCCAAGGACATGTGGACTTAGAGCAGCCTTGGTGACCTGCATGTACTAAGGTAACTGCCTGATGGAGCTGTCCTGAGAAACTTGCCACTCCTCTTCAAACAGCTGATAACTGCAGAGTTTAACCTGAGCGGGTCTCTTCTCCCAAGAGCCAGTGTGTCACCTCGAATGGGATGCTGGGCCTTGTGCGGCTGCTTTTCCCAGAGCCCAAGTTGGTCTCTTGTAGATAATCTCCTTCCTTCCCATTCCCTCGGCTAGCTCTTTCAGTGGAGTCATAAATGCAAGTCAGGGTGGCTGTACTAGAGGTGACTTTCACACTGTCTGGGAAGCATGACACTCTGACAGAAAGAGACTGACAGACAGGTACTGAGTACCTAGATGTTGGCGCTAAGTCCCCAGCCTGGGAGATAGATAGCCAAGATGGGATCTTGCCCCTCAGAGAACTGTTCACCCATTGGGAGGGGCAGTCTCAGAAGATGACGTGGGTAAGACGTGCATGCAGACTTCCTGAGGATTCTGTAGCGGTGGGGCCTGGTGCAGCAAGGTGCGGGTGGGTGAAAACATGAGTGAGGCAGGGTGTGGGCGGGCAAGGGTGCAGCCAGGCCTGTAAAGACCAAGGGCCTGGGCCTCAGGTTGGCATTTTAGAGATTGTCGCAGAGGACTGACCCTCGTGCTGTGGCTACGAGCTATTCAAGGAGTCTGAATGGTGGGCAGCACCTCAGTCAGGGCCCAGCATGACCTAAGCCAGCACGTGGGGCCTGTTTGCCCTCCATCTTGACCTGCCTCTCAGGAACCCTCCTGGTACAAGTGCACTGATGGCTTTGCCCTGTCTGGCCTGGAAAGAAGCCTCCTTCCAGGTTGTCCCCATGCTGGCTTCAGGCTCCATCTTTGCTTACGTCACAGGGCTGGGATGACTGAAGCCTCAAGTTATCTTCAGCATTGCCTCCATCTCAGTGCTGTGTAAATATAGAGCTGAGTTATTCCAAGAAGCAGAATGCAATATAGAGCAGAATCTGAGTGGGTCGCCTGCCCAGTGCAGGACTGGCCCTGGGTGGAACATGGTAGCTTTTCATGAGGTGCTTCACAAGAAAATGCATACCTGTGTATACAGCCTAGTATCTTTACTTATGTATCACATAAAATAATGTGGTCCTGTGCCTCTAAAAGTAGGAAGTGTCTTTCACTAAGCCTCTGCTCTGCCTTGGTTACTCCTCAGCATCTGTCTCTGTAAGATGCCTCATTTTACAGATGAGGAAGCAAGACCCTGAGATTCTCATCCAGCTCCCTAAGCTCAGATTTCTAGCACCTCTGCCTGCTCTCCTTCCCTCACTGGGTTTCACACTTGGCTGCCTTCCTTATGACAAAGGGTCTTCTCTGGCTCTGGAGAGCAGGGGCTGCTCCTTGGGCTGCAAGACACTCATTTCATGCACTTCCTTATATATGCAAGGCGAGGAGCCATCATGGTACAAATTCCTAGAAAAATAACTAGTGACTCCCTAGGGAGATACTTCTAGAAACTTCTCCCTGAGCCCGCCCAGCTGCCTTGCAGATTGGCCCCTGTAAGGAACCATCAGGAGGAGTTGAAGGCATTGTGACTTCCCCAGGCTTCTCTCCAGTGCCTCCAGGCTGGGCATCTCACCTGGAAATGTTTATATTTCCAGGTGCCAGTCTTCTGGAGCAGAGATTCCCCAGTCTTGGTGTGAGAATTCATCCCAAGGACTTCCTCACACAGCTCACTGGACCCCACCTCCAGTCATGGCCCCTCTGAGCCTGCAGACCTGGGGGTGCCGCCGAGAAGCTGCTTTGTTGACAGGGTCCCCAGTGGCTGCTGCCAGGGCTGTCCTTGGAGGGTCGACCACAGGGCCAGGCTTTTGCCATATCCCCAGGCCCACTCTCTCCTCTAAAATGACCCCCAAACTGCTCCATCTTTACTTTACTTAGCCAGAGGCAGGATGGGTCTGGCCGGCAGTCAAAGCAGCCATTGTCATGTTAATGTGGCAGCAGAGTGTGGTGGGGCTCACTCTGGGGACATGGGTGTTTCAGGTGGTGAGAGCTGCTGAGGAGGCTGCATCCACACTAGCCAGCTCCATCCACCCGGAGCAGTGCATCAAAGTGCTCTGCCCCATCATCCAGACCGCTGACTACCCCATCAACCTTGCCGCCATCAAAATGCAGACCAAAGTCGTGGAGAGGATCGCCAAGGACTCCTTGCTGCAGCTCCTCGCCGACATCATCCCCGGCCTGCTGCAGGTAGGCTTCATTCCCCAAGGGCTGCTCGCCTTGAAGTCCGTGGGACTCTGCTGTCCTCCTTCACTGTGGGGACAGGAGGGTCTGCAGGCAGCAATCCAGTCATCAGAACCTGCATTTTCTCACCCACTCATTCCTGCTGCCCTGTGGCCCAGGATGGAATTTCTCTTTACTGTCAACATGTTTTGGTCGTTTATTTTTGTTCATTCCTTCAACAAACCCCAATTGCATACCTCCTGTGGGCCGCAGCCCTGGGCAGCATGGGCCATACAGTAGTGAACCAGACAAAGCCCTCACTCTCCTAGGCAGAATCCCAAAACTTCTGCACATGAGGCAGTGAGCAAACAGCCTGGCACACCAGAGGTGTGTTGCACCGTGTGGCATCACCTCGGGCTTTCCAACCTGCTGTAGGACTCGGTACAGCCACATAGCAGCTGCAGGTGCCACTGGTATGTGCTGCATCATGTAGAGAGGCAGCTTCCAGGTTTAGGTAGGAAAGAGAAAGGGATTTTTTGGCGTTTTTTGAGAGAGGATCTTAGTATGTAGCCCACACTTGAACTTGCCATCTTGTTCCAGCCTTCTGAGGAGTAGGATTCTAGGTATGCACCACCATGTCTGGTGAGGGAGGGGTTTCACTGGGGAAAGGTCGAGGAATCTGCTCCCCACTTTAAAAATGGCTGCTGTTTGCTGACCACTTGACTGGGGACTATTGAGAACTTGATTGCTCGAGACAGATAAAAAGGCTCAAAGGTGAGGAAGTCACAGGGCTGTTAGAAGAGCAGTGTGTGGCCCCATGTGCATGTGAGGTGGAGAGGAAGCTGGCAGGTACACTGAGGCTCAGTTGCAGAGGGTTTGGAGGTTTCTGGCAGTCACTGGGGGATGAAGAGCTTTTGCCCACAAGGGTGAATGATGCAATTCTCATTTCTTTAAAGGTATTTTCAAATATAAAAGAAGCAGGTTATCCTCCACCCCCACCCCCTTTCCTTTTCTCATTCTGTCTCTCTCAAGATGTCTTTTGTGGCTTATGTCACACAAGGCAGGTCTGCCTCGCACTTGCCTGCCCCCTGCCTCTGCATCCCGGGAAGAAGGCCGATCTTGACACTACTCAGCGTTGATCCCCTTGGGATGAAAGCTCTCTGGGTTTGGTTTCAGGTCTGAGATACATCCTGATTGTTGCTGACAGGCCCAAGGTTGAACTGCGAGGGCATCTGTAGAAGTGTTGCTGAAATTCTGTAAGGCGAGTCTTTGATCTGATTTCCTTTCGTGCTCCCCTCTGGCTCTCTAGGGTTATGATAACACTGAAAGCAGCGTGCGTAAGGCCAGCGTGTTTTGCTTAGTGGCAATTTATTCCGTAATCGGAGAAGAATTGAAACCTCACCTCGCACAGCTCACGGGAAGCAAGGTACGTATAGAGTTCCCGGCTGATGCCCACACCCAGCCCTGCCAGCTGGTCATGAACCTTCTTGGCGGCAGCCCTGAACTCTACACAGGCTTTTTTCTCATCAGGTGTGTTTTAGCTGGGCCTTATTTATCCAAAGGTATTTTTTATTTTTCTACAGTGAAAACGACCTGCTATGGTCATGAAGTCCTTTTAGTTTAAGGTGACTCTAACATCATAGTCTACTTAACTCCCTATTTTTGAAAAGAAAACTTGGCTTCCAGTTTATTCACACAAGAACAGTCAACTTTGTTTGGAAACCTGCTTATTTTCCTGCAGAAACACTGAGGAAGTTTACCTAAATACTTAACAACTTGCTGAATGAATCAGAGCTGTGCCCCTTGTCGGCGGCAGGAGTGACAGTGACCTACAACCTGTCCCACAGCACCCCAACAAGCACTGCATCATGTCCCTGGTGTGTGTTGTATTCCTGACACCACTGTGGGATAAGGGTGGTCACCTCCTTTAGCCTGCCCAAGGACACACTGGAGGTCAGGCTCCAGTACCCTCTTGTGCCCCTTTGTGTTCTAGAATCAAAGGAAGAAAAGTGATCAAAAGGGTTTTGGGCTTATTGAAGATGGGAGCGGCTCGAGTTCTCTATGTTCTAACAGTTTCTATACAGGCAACTCAGATTTAATGTGCTGGACCCAGGAGAGATGAGGTGAAAACACTCAGGCTGTGGCGGGGAAGGTGTGGTAGAGAAGGACCTTGACTCCAGAGGGGAGGTGGTCCCACCTGGCTCTCTGAGGAAGTACGGTGTTTCTGACTGAGTTTAAAGATGCCCTTCAGAGGTGTGGATCCCACTTCATGTGGAACTAAGCCAGTGGGGAGCAAGGACACAGAAGCACCTGGCCCTTGCCCCTTGAGAGAGAGGGAATGGGCCAGTGATGGGGCCCATGTTTGCAGAGTGAGCTGCGGGGTGACACGGCCGGGGAGCGTCATAGCCAGAGGGGCACAGGCAGGAAGGCTGGAAGAAGCCGTGAGGCAGGTGTGGGTGAAGGGTTTAGAAGTCGAGTCTGACCATTTTTTGTTTCTTTTTGTATTATTTTCTATCTTTTTTCATTTACACCTGCTCAACCTCTAAATATGTGACTTTGCTTTAGTCGTTTTTTCTGTTTCTCTAAAGTGTAAAGTTGGATTATTGACTGAAGAGTTTGTCTTTTTTATTCACGCAAGCATTTACAGCTGTCAATTCCTGGACCAAAAGTTTTTAAATATTGTGCTTTCATTGTCATTTGTCTCAAGATACTGTCTGATTAACTTTGTGGTTTCTTCTTGATGCATTGGCTTTTATTTTTAAAAAAGGAAGTATTATTTAATTTCTAAACATTGGTGAATTCTGAAATTTTCCTTTTGTTACAAGCTTCTGGCTTCATCCTCTTGTGGTTGGAAGAGACGCTGTGATAATCTTTAATCTGCCCACCTGACTGTGTGGCCTGACACGTGCTGTGCCGGTACCTGGGTACTCCAGCGACGAGTGGAGCTGCTGTGGGGGAGCGCTGTCAGTGCACCTGCTGGGGCTAGTTGCTTTATGGTGTTGTTGAACTCCTCTCCTGCATTTCCTTGCTTACCTCCTGTCCCACCACTGCAGCCATTGTCGAGAGTGAGGCATCAGAGTCTTCAGCTCTTACTGTAGAGCCCTTTCTCCCTTTGGTTCTGCCGATTTTTGATTTACGTATTTAGATGGTCTGTTATTAGATAGTAAATACATAGAATTGTTAGGTCTTCTTGCTGTATGACACTTTTTCTTAATATAGATGTCCTTTTTTGTCTCTTACTCTTTTTTGATTTAAAGTCTTTTTTCTGATCCTTGCTCTCTCTGTTACTTTTGCATAACAAATATCTTTTTCTATCCTTTCATTTTTCAGTCTGTCTTCAGATCTAAAGTGAGTCTCGTAGACAGCATACAGCTAGGTCATGTTTTTAACCCAGTCAGCTAATCTGTCTTGTGTGACTTATTTAACCTGTTTACATTTAAAGTAATTACTGATGAGGGAGTCCTCTCATTTTGCTTTTTAGCTTTCAATGCTTTGCCCCTCATCTTCTACATTACTATCTTTGCATTTGTTTATTTTTTGGTTTTTATTATTATTTTTTTGGGGGGTAGTGAAACATTTTAAGCTCTTCTCATTTCCCTTTGATGTGTTCTATAGCCTTTTTTTTTGTTGTGGGTCTGGGGATTACATTTAATAGCCTAAAGGTACAACACTAACCTAAATCTATACCAGCTTATTGAGCACACTGTTCTGTTTGGGTTTTTATGAGCATACTTTCTGAACCTTTCATTTTTCTAAAAGAAGAGAATCTCTTCTGCCTACCTGAGGGGGTTTCTGTGAGGCTCAGGTATGATGGTGTAAAAGCTCCTTGTGACTCATTGAACATGCACATGCGATTACTTCTGTTGTCATCTCTTCCTCATACATATAATTGTATTTGTTTATTTGCAGTGTTGGGGATTGAACACAGGGCCTGGTGCATGCTAGGCAATTACTCTACCATTGAGCCACATCCCCAGACATTCTTTAAAATTTATAAATTTCAGATGGGGTCTCACGAAGTTGCCCTCACTGGTCTCAAACTTAGTGATCCTTGTGCCTTAGCCTTCTGAGTAGCTGGGATTATAGGTAGGTGCCACCATCCCTAGTTGTAGTTGTATTCTTGAGTAGAGACATAAATTAAGGGTTTTTAAATGAAAATAAGGACAATAATGTTTAACAACTCATTCATACTCAGCCTTTTCTAGAAATATAACTGTCTTGTCTTCTAGATCATTTTTTTCCTCTCATTGATTCAGCAAATATATGTTAGGAACCTGCTGTCCACACCACACTAAGCTGGGTATGTGGGCAAAGTAAAAGCTTTATCCTTCCATGAATTAGTAGAAAGTGTAGCCAGGGAACAGGCTTGGCACCCAAGGAAACAGAGTAGATGCAGCAAGATGGGCCCTGAGGAAGCAGCAGAGAAGAGGAGCCGAGCTCGGTTCACAGGATGGGCCAGTGGTATGTGTACAGCGGGAGCCACTAGGAGGGAGTTAGAAGGAGTAGGGAGCACTGCATCTGAAGAGGAGGTTACAGAGGCACTTTAAGAATGTCCTCAGCGCTCTTGCTGTTTGCAGGTAGTGAAGCTGAGGCTCAGAGAGTGATTTGCCAGAAGTCAAACAACTAGACAGTAGTGGAATTGGATCTGGAACTCTGCTGGACTGCTGAGCCTAAGTGTAAAATCCTTATGTGAACAGTGGCTCTGGTCATCATTAGCACTGCTTACTGTGGTATATGTTGATGATTTTAACAGGCAAGGAAAGGCCAGGACTGGGCCAAGGGCTGTAGTTCAGTGATAGAGTACACGCTAAGCTGGGTTCCATCCCCTGCACCACAAAAAATGAAAGACGAGGACTGAAAGTCAATCAGGGAATGTCACATAAGTTAATGTGAAGTGCTCTTCCGTGGTTGAAGAGAAAGACTGCACCACAGCCTGCCGTGAGAAGGCGCCAGGGCTGGACGGCTGAGCGGCGCCTCCTGCAGGCTCTGTCTGTGTGGCAAAGCCCAGCCCAGCCCAGGGTTCCAGTCCCTGCACGGACATGGCAGGGGTACCTGAGACAGGACACGGAGGACACGCCCTAACCCTAACCCTTCCGGGTGCAGGGCAGGGTCAGCAAGCCTGTCCCGGCTGGCTTCCCGCCGCCTGTTGGATGGCCCGGCTTCCTGCCGCAGCCCGCACATCACCTTAAGCGTGGGAGGTGGGGGAACCTGGAGATCAAAGGACTGCAGACAATACGTTTTTCATAATTCTCTTGATCTTGCAAGTTGTTTCTTAGATTTGTGTTGGACATCCTATTTTTGTTACTAATAGATTAGCTTAGTAGCGTCCAGCTAATACTTGATAAGTACCTACAGCGTCCCCTGCAGTTTTGAGGATCCAAGGGACAAGGCCTGATGTTGTGAAGCACGATGTCAGTCTGTATTAGTGTGGTGTGGTGATACTGTCTGGCCTCCGGGAGACCTGATCTTGCAGAAAGGGACAAGAAAGCCCCCCCCAACCATATGAGGCTACACGTGCTGAGTCTAGACAAGAGGCCAGAGCCACACGTGGGAAGGAAGGATGGCTCTATCTGGATTTGCATCAGGAGGGGCTCTGGGAGGTAAATCTCAGGTGCTGTGGGCATCGGGCTGTTTCAGGAGGCAGACAGGGTTCTGGGAGAGGAAAGGGTGTTAACACAGTCTGGGGGTCAGCAGTCATGGCCTAGCGTCTCTTGCTCCTCTTGGCACCCCCAGCCCGCACGGGGCCACTGGGCTGACTTTGAAATGGGTGGCCCTGCCCCTCATGTACCTCTCTCCAGCAGCCCCTGTAGCTGGCCAGTGTTACAGTGTTGTGACACGCGCTATTCTTTTGTAACAACCATCTGTTTTCCTCTGTCTTTTAGATGCTTGTAGGTCTGGACACTTGTGGCACCAGTGTTTGTGTAATGAGTTCCCCCACCAGGGAATTAAGGGACAAGCAGTTTTCTGATTGTCATCTGGGTTGTGTTTGTCATTTTCCTGTGTTCTACTCTGATTGCTTTCCTCCTGCTGACTCAATTGTGTCTTCTTCACAGATGAAGCTGCTAAACTTATACATAAAGCGGGCCCAGACCACCAACAGCAACAGCAGCTCCTCCTCCGATGTGTCCACGCACAGCTAGTGGTGCCCGGAGACCCCATCAGCTGCCCTGTCAGTACGAGGAGTCCCACATATTTATTACAATCAGTATTTTGGTCCCTTCCAGCTTTTGTGTAGAATCTTACTGGGATTGAATGTAATGGAAGCAAGGCCTGTATCAAAGTCCTCAAAGAAACAAGAAATAATGAGAAACAAAAAGAGCCATATTACATGTCTCATGCCACCTGCTGAGATGTTCCCAAAACCTGCAGCTCTCTAGCAGTACTTGTTAGGCAGTAGCTTTTTTTTTTTCTTTAACTTCAGTTAATAACAGATTTGGGGGTGGGGTCCCTTTTGCGTCCCTCATTCTTAGCTTATATTCTCACGAGCATGGCCGCGTGGGGCAAAGCCCACCCTTTTCCCAGCCACCTCTGATAAAGGTCACATGTCTTAGGTTGTGTTTTGAGACCTAGTAAGCATGGAGCAGAAACCACAGCAAGAAAAGGAGGAAAGCCTGAAGCTGCCTGCCGCGTGGTTGTTATGTCACACAGGAGCCCCTTGCCCTGTCTCTTGGCGAGGTCAGGACTGCCTCAGTCTCTTCCCAGACCCTTGGAACGGCTCCACAAGGCTCTCTACCCCGGAACTGTGGCTCAGAAGGATTCCTATAACTTACAGCAAGTTAGAGATGCCTGAAAGGGCCTTCAGTAGAGCACAGTGGGTGTGAGGAAGTTTCTTGTCCGTTTCCCTGCAGAGATCTGGGGAAGACACTGTTGTACTGGGGATCCCAGGATTCTAAGTTGTGGTTCAAAACTGCACCATCTTATCTTGGCCCTCAAGCTTTGCCTGAGCTGTTCATTTCCAAAATGTTCTCAAGTTAATCTGGCAAACATCAATTTTACCATTCCACTTTGGGCATCCCCATTTTCTCTGGGGATTAAGAGCAAAAAAAAAAGTCTAGAGAGACCAGATATCAAAGTCTTTCTTTGGTGGTACAGATTGAACCCATGACCTCCTGCACGCTAGGCCAGTTATCTACCACTGAGCCCCTGGCCCTGGAATCATTATTTTTAATTCTGTAAGCCAAAGTACTTCCTTGATTGTTAAATTGCTTAAGGAAAAAGTAATCATGACGAGTGGCAGAATGCAGAACAACAGGATTTGCAGTGTACTTTCAGAGTCTGTTCCCTTCCCCGGGAAACCACCGGGCTCCTTTTATGTTTTAACCTCTTGAGGTTCTGATTGCTCCAAAGGAAGTAAATGTAGATCTGGAGTCTGATTACAGTAAGTTTTGAGTAAAATTCCTAAGCCAAATAGCAATTCTCAATGCAGTCATGAAGACTTCTTTTGTTGCTATTCTATTTTAGATCCTCTAATTGAACCAATTCTTCCATAAGGAAAAAGCTGCTTTTGACATGAATTTTAGCAAGATACAGTATTGGCAGATCCAGGGTGGGGCCCACCGCAGCCACTAGGACTGAAAGCAAGACCTGGGGCCCTGCTCAAGTAGTTCTCAGCCTGGTTCACCACCCCTCACTGAACCTCTACGTTTGATGGGGACCTGGTGAAAGGCAGATAATAACATTATTAGGAAATAAGTGCTAAACAGGACAGCCTCTACGTTCAGGTAAGGGTGGGTTATCTTACACACACAAAGTGCTCCACTGCTGCTGTTTAGGGAAATCCATGGGTGTATTTTAAGTGGCTGAATATTATGGACGGACTTAGGCTCAGAACATAGCAGGATCAGGCCTTACTTTCAGTGATAAATACTGTTTGTTTTTTGTTCATATATTAATGGGATTTCTTTTTCACTCTTTTGTATACAAGAGTCCCAGAGTCTTGTGATCTCCTCTATGGTAGAAACGTGCCTCTCAGGCAGTAGTGTACTTATGAATTCTCTTATGCCTGATGCAGTTAGGAAGACCCCTCTCTGGAACCCTTTGGCTCCTGAAAGTCGCCGTGATTCCCAGTACAGTTGGAAGGCTCAAACATTGCTGATGTCCTCACAGTACTCAAAAAGGGCTAGCCTCGAATGTCACCCGCCCCTCCTCCATTTCCTGACCAGAGAGATACAATCACGTCACAGGTCTCTTGACCTCACTCTGCAAGCTGCTGCCAGCCTGCTGGAATGGATTCGCATGCCGCAGGGCTGCTGCGCCCACCTCCGCCTTGGGACGCCTCACCTTGCCGCAGCCTCCCTGCCGGGCTCCATTCTGTTCTGCCAGACGCTGACTGCAGAGCATCCAGAACTGCGTTTGCCTCCCCACCTACCTGACTGTCCAGAGCCTCAGTGTGCCCTGCCCCATGGCGAGGGCTGTTCCTCCAACTTCCTGCTTCCCCGAGGAGCCGGCTGGTCTCTTGGTGCGGCGCGGCTGTCTCCAGTGCACCGTGTGTGCTGCTCACCCGGCCGTGCACTCGGGCCTGCCTTTTTTACGCTCACCACTGGCTTAGCACCCTGTGCGGGAAATGCGATAATTCGTCTCACATGTTTTTTTTTGTTCCCTGCCACCCTTTCTGTCAAGCATAATATGCTTTAAAAGACAGCAAATCAGAACTTTTTAGAACCCCACCAGGACTCTGCTAACGTTTGGAAATGAAAAAAGAAATGCTCTGAAAAATTATCAGCCACCAAAATAGTTTTGTTGGCACTGTGTTCACACGCATGGTCCCCATGCCCCCAGGTTGGGTGGTTTTTTGTTTTGTTTTTTTGGGTTTTTTTGGGCTTTTTCATGTTACATCCATATCTGTATTTATATCTTATTTGTTTCACTTTCAAGTGTATCATGGCAAATGTACAGATTTTTGTTGTTAATAATGTGCTAGGATTTGCTAAAAAACAAAACAAAACAAAAAAAACCTTTTGAGTTTGCCCTAGAATAAATGAAACCTAATTCAGTTTCCTGCATTGGTGCTGTCTGTATTGCACTGTGCCCGGAAGAAACCTAGTCCCCTTTCCCTGTGACGCAAAGAGGTCAGTCTTCCGGCCGGTCTGCTGGGAGTCAGCCCCTACAGTGTGTGGGGGGTGAGGGGCTGGGAACGAGGGTGGGGCCGAGCCCCAGCCTCACCTCCAGGGGCTGCGTGCATGGGGGCCTTTCCTTGGCCGAACAGTGAAACATTCGCTTCAAGGGAGTCTGGACCTCGGCTCCTGAGACTACACTGAGCTGCTAAGAGCAGGTGGGACCCATGGCAGGGCTTGTGGGCACTGGGCACCTGAGGAGAGGGGTCTTAGAAACACGCACAGCACTGGGGATTTAAGTCTGCTTCTTGGAAATTTTTTCTTTAGATTTTCTTTCTAATTTTTAATCTTAACATGCAATAAACATAGCACAAGAGTTGCCTCCTTAATCACTTTGTATGTTTCATGGTATTCGATGCATGCACATGTTACACGGCCATCACCACTATGCTCTGGAGTTCATCTCCAGAACTTCTCGTCTCGTAAAACCAATAGTCCATTAACTGTTAACGTCCATCAGCCACTGCTCCATTTTCTGTCTCTGGGGTTCTCTCCTAGTGGAATTACACATGACGTTTGGCCTTTCTGTAGCTTCATGATGCTTTCAAGGTCGATCCACACTGTGGCCTGTCAGAATTCTCTTCCTGCTTGAGGCTGAATACTATTCACTGGGTGGATGGACACCCCCACCACTGCCACTTGGGACGCTCTGCTTTTCAGTAAAGGTGGTGTTTTGTGTTTCCATCACGTTCCATGCTGCATCTCAGGGACCCTTGTCCCGGGCCAGTACCCCATTCGCTGGTCTTACCTTCGCACCTGTTGGAAGTGTCACAGAGCCCCAGCATCACACGAAGCTGGGTAGGGTCCCAGCTCCAGCCTAGACTCCTTCAGCAGACTGGCTTTACGTCCTGCCGCAGTTATTCCACCTATGAGCTGGGTTAAGACTCACCAGGTAGGCAGAGCTACTGTCAGGACTGAGTGAAGCAGCTGACAGCTGGGGACACTGACGGCCGCCTGCCCTGCCTCCCACCTCAGGCTCTGACACGGAGTGGGGGTGGTGAGGTCACCTCTACCCCTCCCCACATGCCTGTCTGCAGCCAGAGTCCATTATTCATTAGCGAATGGAAAACTCCTGGAGGACAGGAGTTCAGCAGTTCAGTTTTTTATATTTGGTTCTCTACCCACTGGACCTATCCCCTTTGCTTACGCAGGGGTGGCCGGGAGGCACTTGCCTGCTGAAGACAGTCTCAAGCCATGGGTGGGGGTGGAATTCAGAGACCTCCGTGGACCTTGGCTCTAAAGCATCTGAATGGTCTTCTCTCCAGGAAACACACATCTCTAGCATCAGTGCTTCCTGAAATCTCTGGTGGATCCAAGACCCCGAGCTGCCGGGCATTCCCAGGGAAAAGCCTCTGGTCCGAAGACCTCTGATGGGTACCAGAGGTGGGGTGGTTGACGTGCAGCATTAATGTCCTTCAGGGGGCATCAACACTTTTGAGGAATTCTCCCCCATAAGATCTGATTTTTATAGCAATCCGAGATGCATGTAAGGCAATTGTTCAATTTCCAGGTAAGGAAATGGGCACAGGAAATGTCACAGATGATAGCGACTTGGAGTTGGGGCCCGCCCTGGGCCTGTCACTCCAGCTGCAGCTTTCCCCTCTGAGCATTGTCTTCAGACCCTGACTTTGGGAGAGCTAACGAGATGGGCTGTCGGCCCAAGAGAGTATTCTTAGCAAGTTTCTCCATGCTGTGCGAGCTGTCATGAGCTCATGGACCACGCTGAGAACTGCTGTGGAGTGTTTTGCTTCAAACAGCACTGGTGATTACATTGCTACTGTGAAACAGGCTGCGGGGAGCATCGTCCCTGGTGTTATTGCTGCTAACTGGCATGTGGCTAACTTGGCCCCCAGATTGGGACTTTTGAAAGTGGATGGGCACCATGATGGGAGGCTGGAACATCACAGGGAGAGGAGCTTAGCCCAAGCCCGCCAGCCTACGGGTTTCCGCCAGTATTTATTAACATACCTCAGTGGCTCTAGGCAAGGATGGACAAAGGCCTTGTGAATGGCATCTAGTCCCAGATTGTGTATTTAGAAGACATTAAAGTGCTTCCATACCAGACCTCCCTTTGGAGTTGCTGCCAGGAGCAAGGCCGGAGGCCAACTTTGTCAGGCCCACTTGGAAGTGCTGTGCTCCTGCAGTTCCCAGGGGCTCGTGAGTGCCCAGGTTCCAGAGGGGACGGTGTCAGGGGCATGAGGCAGGGCAGGAAAGGTAGTGCCACCTCCCACAGTGGGGTATGTCTGACCAGTACTCAGTGGACACCTCTCTGGTCTCCTGCCTCCCTGCATGCATCCCACTGTCCCTGCTGGACATGGCCTCACACTTCTAGTTCCTACCGAGTGCTCATCGTTTGCTGAACTCGGAGCTATACACACAACAGCCTATAAGGTAGGTTCTATGATTACTCCCACTTTAATGGAAAGGAAACAGACACACAGCAAGGTTGGACAACTTGCTTAGGGTCACAGCCAATAAAAGGCAGATCTAGGATTCTAATCCAGGAAGTCCAGCCCTGGACTTGGGTCTTTGTCCCTTCTCTGAACTTCTGGTCCACTTCCCCTGCCCCTGAATCTTGTTAGCAAGTTCAGCTGGATCCTGCCTGGTCATGGTGAAAGCTCATGCAGGACCTAGGTGACTGCTCCTGGCCTAGGAAGGAGGGCCGCCCCACATGTTGGAGGAGGCAGGGGACTGGGTAAGGTGGAGGGGACAGTTCGTTTCAAAGATGTTGATAATGTTGTGCTTCATAATTTGGGCAGTGGGCTCACGGGAGTTTTCTTCACTACAGCCTGTAATGAACATATATATTCCCTTCTAGATTACCAGCTATTCTGTACTACCAAATATTTCATCATCTCAAAAGTGTGAGAGCTCTATATTGCAAGGTGGTCATTTGGATGAGGCTCATATTTTCTCTCTGGATTACCATAGATGTGAAAACCTCCCAACAGAATTTCCAGGCCTCTGAGAATATACATGTAATCTATACGTAAGACCCCATTCAAGGCCCATCACCCCACATAAGACTGTCCAGTGTCCCACGGGCCTGTGTCTGAGGGGACAACCCACAGGACACCATGCTCTTCGGGATCTTTGCTCACAGCCATGGGAGGAGCGGGCACTGAGGACCTTGCCTCTTTTCCCAGCAGCTCCTCCAAGCCCCACAGGCCTTGCTGCACTGTGAATGTTCCCTCCAAGGCTCATGGGAGGTGTATTTGCTTATTTCCTCTTGCAGGGCTGGGGATCAGACACAGGGCCTTGCGAGCACTCTGCCCCGTCCATAGTTGAAACGCAATGGCGTCTTGGAGGTGAGTTCTTGGGAGGTGAGAACTTGAACAGCTAATTAGGTCTCGGGGGCCTCTGCCTTGTGAACGGATTAATGCCATTATCGAGGCTGCAGGTGCCTCTGCAGTGGGCTCACGGCACAAAGATGACTTCACTGGAGTGCTGTGTCTCAGTGTCTCACACATCTCCTCCCACGCAGAGCCTTGCACTGTGTTACAACATGAAAAGGCCCTCCCCGGGTTCAGGGGCCATGTCCCCAGACTGCCCCTTCTCCAGGACTATAAGAAATGAGCCTCTGTCCTTTATAAATTACTAGCCCTGTACTTATTTAAAAACAAACAAACAAACAAACACTGAAAGAGGCTCCTCAGCGTAACCAGTGCTTTGTCTCCTTTGGCTCCTGTCCTGCTCAGCTCCCTTTCGCTTCCCAACAAAAGCTAGGACAAGAAGCAGTTTGGATGTTGTCCAAGTGGGCAGTAGTCACAGAGGGCCTTGCTTCCTCGGGCAAGTCTGAGGTCCCTCCGGTACTCTCCGACAGTCTAGGAAAGAGGACCCAAGAGTCTCAGGAAGGCCGGCGGCAGGAACTGCTACTCCTGGGAAGACGGGGTCCAAAGGCGAGCTGTTAAGTCCGCAGGGCTGGGGGCGCCATGCACCTTCATGGCCCCTCCACCACTTCCGCTTCGACTGCCGAACAGCTCCCTGGATGCTGGTCTCCTTCCGCAGCTGCCGTGTGTTCTACCAAGGAGATGCCGGGAAACTTGTTGAGGACCAGCAAGAGGGTGGTGCTATCTTGTTCCTGTGGGGCAGCCCAGGCGCAGGTCCTGCCTTGTCCCCTGTGTCGTGGCTACCCAGCAGCAGAAGTTCAGAAGACATCCCCCTTCTCAGCGGTTCCTGGCTGAGCGGTACTCAGCTCTGGGCCCCTGGCCCCCCCACAAACGATGTCCACTGCCAGACTCTGTAAAAAATCCCCCAAGAGGGGCCGGGGATCTAGCTCTGTGGTGCCGCTACCTGCTTTGCAAGCAAGCACAAGGTCCGGAGTTAGATCCCGGGTACAAAAAAAAAAAAAAAAAAAAACCCCCAAGGGCGGGGGCA